GAAGGCTTAAAAAAGCGAAATTCTAAATAATGTGTGAACACGTGAACGAACGGAGCAGTGTAAGCTCATTCTAGTTTCAAAACTTTATTACTAATGAAGATTTGTTACAATGCAGTGCTTCCACGAATCGGTTCCCAAACCCAACCTACTTCAAAAAATATAACTTCTAGTCCCAGACAAGTTTCGCCTTTAATCTTGCCTTCAATCTTCCCTCACTCGGATCACCAAAAATTTTAAACAAAATAATTTTTTCATATAAAGCGTCAGTTCGCTCTTTTCGCAACTCATGTAGTCAACCACAACTCCCACCAGTTCCCAAGCCCTATGAAGGATTCCCCAGTACTTAGACTAGTTCTAAAGTTACAAATCGCAAACTTTTATGTATCTCCAAGACCATCTATTCCAACTCACAGGGAAAAAACTGACGAATAGACAAATATGCCACCTTTGAGCTCAAACTTTGGAAAATTCCACAGTTTCAAAGAATGTTGTCTCGCAGAAAATCTGCCTATTAAGTCTGCCTCTTGCTCTGCAAACTAGCAGTCCAGTCTGACCGGAAATCCGGGCCTCAAAACGATCTGCAGTTAATTTTCAATTGTGTGTGATTTGACGAGAAACGACCCATGCATACATTAGTATACACAAGGAAGTATAAATACATATGTACGATAGGATTTATTTGCCAATTCACACAAACAGTTCATTCATGATTTCAAGTAGGTTACAGTAAAGCTGAAACTGATTTTCTTTAGTGGGATAAGTACGGAAAAAAACAATTTTAATGACGCAACCCGTTTCAAAACATCATTACTCTAATCAAAACTGACACAACAGGAAACCGTTGTGACAAAAGAAAAATCACACACCATGTCGCTTTTGATATTGCAGTCCAAATACAGCGCCACGTTGAACCTAATTCAACTTTAAATCAACTTATTAAATATGATTTACACCGATGCACCTTAGTAGAAAATAAAAGTATAGCTAAAATTAAGGACTCACAAACCCACAAAGTCAAAAATAATTTTTATTTATAAGTTCAATAATATCCCCGCTTTTCTGAAATGACTTCAAAGATTTGCAACTGAAAGATTTCTGCAGAAACAGTTTTCTCAAGTTCCCGACAAACAATAGAATCAGAGCAACTATTTGAAGCAGAGCCAAATTACATACAAGAATATAAATTATGGCAAAAAATTTTGCACATCACGCACGCTAAAGGTGAGGAGATGAGAACAAGAGAGACAGTGATGTCGCGATATAAAAGATAAAAATCTTAGTACATGTGCTCTGTATTGTTGCTCCTCGGAGTCTTGATCTTCTCATAATTCTTTGTTATCATGTCATGTAACGTAGCAAAATGATTACGCATCTCCATAAGTACAAGTCGTATGTTGATAAACTGCTTCTCATCCATGTCGAGGATAGCCCTACGATAATCTTCCTACAAACAATATATTTTATAAACCAAAAACTCAAAGAAGGAAGGTAAATTTAACTTTAACATTTCAGAACCATAGCACATCTTGAAAAATACTATGAAATAAAAGACTCACAACATGTGGATATTTAGCTATCTTCGTTACCAAACGTGCCCTGCTTACAAAATACCGAGACATTTGGTCAAGAAAAGATGCAGCTTCTCCCTCAACGGTACGAACCTAAAGCAGAAGCTTCCTGATAGCCAACAAAGGTTTAAGTCCATAGAAATTAAAACTTCCATGAAGAAGATCCTGTAGAAATTGTATATTTTTATAAAGCTTACTTCACTAAGCGCCTCTTCTTGTATTGACACTCCAAAATTATTCCCATCTTCTATCCTTGGTATCAAAAACAAGATCCATATTTTCACCTTAAAGGAATACATAAAACCAACTAGTAGATCATGACCAAACACTGATAGTTGTATAAATGATAAGAAAGTTCTAGATGAAAAATTGATTCATTTAATATAAAATATAAAAACCATTCAGATGAAAACAGTGCAGGCTTAGATTAAATTCAACTCCATCAACACCACCCTCTAATGCAACTTAACTTTCCCTTACCTTATTGACAACTTCAACAGCGTCGCGCAACATAGGACGAGTGATATCAGTCAATTCAGCAAGTTTTTCGTTGCATTTAACAACTCCATTAATAAAACCATAAACAGGAGTACCTTAAAGGAAATCAAGAAACCGTCACATTCAGTTTGAAACGGATATATCGTTCAAAAAGTATTGTCCTCTATAAGAAATCTTCCCAAATAAATTCTTACTCTTAACTCATCAGAAATTAAGCAGAGATGCAATCATTTAAGCATTAATTTTTTAGACGAATCGCACTAAGACGGAATGTTTAATAAGATACCTCATCGAAAAATTTCAAATTTTTTTATCTGTATAGACCTACACTGAGTGTAAACGCAAGTATACCTCTATATAATACTTCTTCCTCGTTTGGCTTCTTCTTCTTTTTTGGAACCCCATCGTTCTGTTGAAATTACAATAAATATAGAAAAAAGCCTCACTTTGAACAAACATAGCAATAAGATCAAAAATTGAAAAAAAAAAAAAAAAAAA